ATTTGAAATTAATGAATGTATTAGATATCAAATTATTTTTTTTTTATCTTATATTACAAGGGTTCAAATACTCACCCATCCCCGAACAAAAAATAATTGTTACAAAGTGAAATTTATCGAAAAGATGATAATAATAAACAAATCTATCAAATTAGACTTAAAATGGTGAAAAAAAAAGTCAAATATATACCATACCAAATAAAATTAAGAAGTTAATTTTTTTTATTGACAATATAAATCTAACTCAACTAATTATCCCTAAAAAAAACTAATTAAGCATATATTTCCTATCCAACTATTGGATTCTCATATGCCAATTAAACATTTTTTTAAATAAAATTTATTGAAAAAATAATTCTAACGAAGAGATATAATTGTGAAAAGAAAAGAAGTAAAACTTATGTTATTATAAAAAACTAAAATGTTGTGATATTGGTTAAAATACATATTAATTTTTTTTATTGCCAATATAAACGTTGAATTCGTTAAGCATATAGATTAAATTAGAGGTTAGGTTCAAATTATCATCTCGCGAATGGTTGATTTTTTTTTTTAGTGGAATTTATCGAAAAGATAATTACAATAAAGTTTATCAAAAAGAAAAAGAGAAAAAACAGATATTCATTCATATTGTCAATGTTTATCAGGTTATGGTTAAAATAGTGAAAAAAAAGGTAGAGGAAGGGTGGCGGAGCTAAATTCAGTGTTTGAACAGTTGAATTGAATTGTGAAATTATGAATTGTGAATTGTGAATTTGGGGACGACGACGACTCCAACAAACAATTCAATTCAATCGCATCCTCTCTGGGTTTTCTTCTCCCTTCCAATTTAGGGTTTCCTTTTCCGATTTCGGGGAGGAACCAATTTGAGGTATGCGGATGCTTATTATATCCCCCAACCCATGATTCCTTTTGCGATGTGTACAATCTCTGCTCATCCCTTTTCTTCTGCTCTCCGCTTGCAGTCGCCTATGGAGTTGATGTTCATGGGCTCCCGATTCCACTTCCACTCCGCTTTCGACGCCGCTTCCGAGGCCTTTTCTGAACGCCTTCACGCCCTCATTCTCATTGTTCTTCTCTGACTCACTGGGTTCTCCATTATTGTTCCCCCCCTCTTCCCTTCTTCTTCTCTCCAATCTGCCTGTGTTGCTGCGATGGATTTGATGTCTGGGAATTCTGAGCCTGAAGATCGTGAGGTTGCGGAGAAAGATCCGACGGGACGGTACATACGGGTATTTTTTTTAACCAGCTCTTCCTTTGTTGTTTTTCGGCGATCCATGGTTAGGTTTTTGAATTTTGTCATCAGCTCGGGATTTGCCCTAGCTACTGGCTGGATTGTAGGAAGGGGAGAATTTTGCACTTTATATTTCTACTTTTTAACTTTTTATTTGGGGATTCGCTGCTGATTACAGATTTAGTTGGTTTGTTTTACTTTTGTAAGCACAAATTTGTGTTACCTTTATTAACCGTGATTAACCACTAAACTCGATATTGTTCATTGGATTGGTGGTTTCGTCGCTAATGGTTTGATAATCGACTACTTATGTTATGGATGTGTTTTTTGGTTCTGCTTTATTGTGTAGATGTTTTCTCCAATTTGTCTTTATGATTCAGTCCTCATTTTTACTTTTCTTTTAACTTTTCAGTACGATGAAATTTTGGGTAAAGGAGCATTCAAGACAGTGTATGCTTCTGATATCTATCAATCTCAATCCTTTTATTCTTTCTGCTAGTCTGTTACATCAGTTTTTAGTTGAGTACCTTCTCAAACAAGTAAGGGTATATTATTTGACTTGTGGTCTGTTTATGTTGTTGTCGACTCTTCAGATACAAAGCATTCGACGAAGTCGGTGGAATAGAAGTTGCATGGAGCCAAGTGGACATTGAAGATGTTTTGCAGTCACCGGAACAACTCCAACGATTATATTCTGAGGTTCATCTCCTAAAGTCACTGAAACATGAAAATATCATCAAGTTCCATAGCTACTGGGTTGATGATGAGAACAAGACTATCAACATGATAACAGAATTGTTCACTTCTGGGAGTTTGAGGCAGTAAGATCCAGAGTCGTCTTTTTATTTCTGTAATGTGTTTATTGTTATCATTTAACATTTTCTCATTTATGGTATACGTTGGAATTCAGATATCGAAAGAAGCACCGTAAAGTTGACATGAAGGCCTTCAAGAACTGGGCAAGGCAGATACTGCGGGGTTTAACCTATTTGCATGGTCACAATCCTCCAATTATTCACAGGGATTTGAAATGCGATAATATATTTGTTAACGGAAATACTGGAGAAGTTAAAATTGGAGATCTCGGATTGGCAATTGTCATGCAGCAGTCTACTGCTCGAAGTGTTATTGGTAATAATCTCATTTTCAGGCTCTGAGTTCTTTTTGTGGGGATAGTATTCTTGATCACTTCAACTGATATTTGAGACGTGTGATTATTATTCAGGCACTCCAGAGTTCATGGCCCCAGAGCTTTATGATGAGGACTATAATGAACTTGTCGACATATATTCTTTTGGCATGTGCATGTTGGAAATAGTTACGTGTGAATACCCATATAATGAATGTAAAAATGCTGCTCAAATATTCAAGAAGGTTACTTCTGTAAGTAAATGATTATTTCTATCAAATTATCTCTTGTCCATTTAATACGTCCATCAAATTGAGATCCTGAAATCATTTCCTCTTTCTTGCAGGGTACAAAGCCTGCTTCCCTTGAAAAAGTGTTGGATCCTCAAGTTAAGCAGTTCATAGAGAAGTGTCTGGTTCCAGCATCCATGAGACTACCTGCAAGTGAACTCTTGAAAGATCCATTCCTTGTGATTGAAAATACTAAGGAGCATAGTTCCGAACCTTCAAGGTTATTGAATGCGCAGTTCATATCGGTAAATCCTCCACTGCTTGGTTCCAATCCAGTGGACATAGCTCATAGCTGCATGAAACTCTCAGGCTCAGAGAGCTCATCTGCCAAAAGCAGTAATGAAATTTCTCACTTTTCAACTCCGGAGCTCTCTGCCAAAAGCAGTAATGAAATTTCTCACTTTTCAACTCTGGAGCTCACTGCCAAAAGCATTAATGAAGTTTCCCACTTTTCAAGTTTGGAACTTCAGAGATTCACTGAGAATAATGAATTGATGTTGAAAGGGGAAATGACGGATCATAATACAATTTCATTCCATTTGCGCATTGCTGAACAATGTGGTAAATTTTTTGGCCAACCTTTCATGAATCTTCTAAAAGCTCTTTTTTGTTTAGCGAGTGTGTTAGTACTCTTCATGGTAACTTGAGCATTTATTTTCATGCAGGTAAATCGAAGAATATCCATTTTGCCTTTTACCTTGATTCTGATACTGCCTTGGCAATTGCTTTGGAGATGGTTGAACAACTTGAACTGTCAAATGAAGATGCGACTACCATAGCCAAACTAATAGATGAGTTAATTACCAAGTTTGTTCCCAGCTGGAAACCGTGTGCAAATATTTGCTCTGAAACTCAAGAGGATAAGACCTTCATTCCTCCTTTCTTCCCTGAGCTTGTACTGTCATCTCCCATGGTGGCTGACGCTAGGAAATCTCTGACACATTTGGCCGACATGGAAGATCAAGACAACCAGCAGTCGATTATCTCGTGCGCATCACTGGATTACATCCATTCGACAACCTCAGGTTACAGCACTGGAAAAGGATCAGAATACGGCGACTTCGGCCACCCTGAAGGCGAAAAAGTGTTTATCAGCGAACCAATTGATTCTGACACCGCAGTTTCCGTCTCGACTGTGATAGATTTTGCGAAACCGTCTCTAATCTCCTCCTGCTCAGGAATGTCTAAAGATTTGAGTTTGTCGAGCTTTTCCTCGTTTTCTGTGGAAGAAAGAGATCACCATGATGAACTGAAGCTGGAGATTGATGCTATTGACTTGCAGTACCACCAGTGCCTTTGTGAACTCTCAAGAATGAGAGAGGAAGCAATAGAAAGTGTCAAGAAGAGGTGGATGGCAAAGAAGAAAGCTTGTGCTATTTGAAGCACAGCCCCCAATTTCCCAAGGATTTACAATGTTTTCTTTTGGCAACAATTGAAGATTGTCTTATTTTTTTAATACTGACATTTATTCTTTACATTCTATCCAACCAAGTCCTAACTCCTAACTTCTGTTCTCACCCCACAGTCCTTTCATTACATAGTTTAGACATATTCATTGCGTTGCATTTGTTCCACATTCTTCCCCATGTGCAACTTTTTTAAACTCTATATTTTCCATGTATTCTTTCACTTTGGCATGAGCTCTCTCTCTTTCTGATCTTTTCCTAACAAATTATTCTTTTTATAATGTTTGATTATGTAGAAGATACTTTCTTAGATTCAACATAAGCCATGCCCAATATCCAGTATGGCTCAATTGGTTAAAACATGTTATATCCAGTATATAGCTCAACGAGTTAAAACATTAGTTTTGATTGTTCAATGGTTCTATAATGGCTTTTCAACTTGAGGAGCTCTATCCAGTCTTTTCTTTCCTTAATTTCTACAAGTTCCAACTTATCTCAAACTCTTCCATAAGAGTTTTATTGTTATCATGATTCTTCTTATTAATCTGGATTCAAGTAAGGTTTACTTTTATTATACATTTTAAGAATTTAAGGATTTAATCCTATAAATAGGGATTCATTATTGGATGGAAATTAGGTATTTAATTAATTTTTTTAAAAAATTATTTAATTATTATTATTATTATTTTAAAATAATAACAAGCCGGCATTCCCACCCCAATCCCTGCAAAATATAAATGAGAAACTTAGTGGGGATGGATATTGTTGGTCGCATCCTCGCCCATGAACACTCCTACTCATCTCTAATCAATGTGGCTTGAAATTATGTCCATATTAACATACTAGTACACATATTTAAAGCTACATAACTAATTTGATTTTTAATAAAAGAAAATAGAATTACATAATATCCTACTTATCGATTCAAAATGGATAAATAAGAACATAAATGGTTGTATTTTTCTTAATAAAATTGAAAACAAGAAATAAGAAAAGAAAACGTTATCAAATATGTTTTTTCTCGTTTATTTGTTCTCGTTAAACTAATCCAATATACTCACATAATTTTGAAAATTAATTAGTGCTATCAAACAATTAAATCGCTTTCTCATAGCCCTACCTTAACAACTTGTTTTCTAGCTTATTCTGAAATATCTTATCATGCAACTCATCTCCACTGAATTACAGAAATACCCTCCTTATAGACTTATATATCCTTTTAATTAAATTATAATTTTAGTTTCTATTCTTTAAATTTAGGGAAAGGATAAATTTTTAGCAAGCTCTTTTATTTCAACTTTAAGAAGTTTTCTGTGATTTCTATACTCAGCTTGACTCCCATCAGACTAAAGTGGTTAATCAATAGCTAACTTGAACACTGCTCAACGTGATAATACATTATAACATCTGAAGAAGAAGAAAAAAAAAACTTTCACCCTTCAACTCAAAACTCTTCCATTTCTAAAGCTGTGACATAAGCTTCTCCTGTTTCCTTCTCTTCTGGTGTGTTCAAAAGATTCCATGCCCAAAGCTCAACTTATTATACATCATTTTTCTTTTTTCTTGCTCGATCTGAATTCTTCACTAATAGTTCATTTTGTGTAGTACCACAAATGTGGGGTCATGCGGACTTAAATTTTCAATCTCAAGAAAAATAGTAGATATTATTTATCTACTAGTGGTTTCTACTTGATGGTTGTTGTTTCCTTCTTCTCTCAGGCCATGTTTACTTACTAATAATCAAAATAAGAATGAATCAAAATGAAATAAATGGGAGAATGTTATTCCTTTGATGTTTATCAGAAATTTTATGAAATTGGAATTAGAATTCCTTTGATGTTGTTTACCAGTATGAAATCAGAATTGGAATTAGATATATAAGAATTACTAGTATACCTCTTTTCTCTTTCTTGCTAATTACAAATACATTATTTTATTAATTTTTTAAAAAGAAAATAAATATTTTATTTTTATTATTATATTATTGATAGTAAATATTTTTTTATCATAATTTATTTAATATTAATAAATAATTAATAATTTAAATAAAATTACATCAACTAAAATACTTTTTTTTCTTTAAAACAGCCCTCATTAACAATGAATTATATTTTTTAAAAAAATTTATTAATATTAATTAATAATAAATGGAGAGAAAGGATAAAAATAGTAAATTAAGAGTGTGAGGTCCAGAGTGCCATCAATTTTGAGGTGAGATTCACTTTTTGATTTAGTTTCGTAAACACGGAATTAAAAAGTTCATTCTTATTCTTTTAAGTAAACATGACTTTGCCAAATCGAACA